ATCAAATTTCATGATGTTGATGTCAAAGAGAGGAGAGGAACATGATGCATTAATTAAGTTTTTTTTTTTTTATTTCAATACGTAGAATATTAATAAAAAATTTATGAGAAAGATTATATAAATGGGCAAATCCTACCATGACTACAAAGTTTGCAAAACCCAATAATTACCTCAAGAAATAACCCAACAATTGCATACAATTTTCATAGTGGATGAGAAATAAACATCCAACAATGGGGGTTTTTGTTTCAGTTTTGAAAATCTAACTTATGGCTTTTAGTTTTAAAAAAATTATTTTGGACTATTTGGTTAAACTTATTTCAAATACCTTCTGATTCTAACAACTTATTTTAACTCAAAAAAGCTGATTCTGAGAAACTCTCTTGCTTCTGATTATCAGCTTCTGCTGTAGACATGTTAATTTATGGTTATACTCTTAGATTTTTTTATTTTTTATTTTTTTTGAAAATAGAAAAAGACCCAAATGGACTATAGATTATTATTATTATTTTTTATGAGAAATGTAGATAAACAAAAAATAAAAATTAATTGAAAAGCTATTTCACAGCTTATTTAACAAACACTACTCAGTAACTTAAATCTATAATCCAACAGCTACACCAAACAGATTAACAACTTCTGATTAAAGTCATAATTTATAATCTGTTAGGTTATAATCTATAAGCTATTTTAACAGTTATATCAAACGGGACCAATATCTGGAACATGTGGACACCAATTATCTCGGATACATCCACATGTCATGTTTCAAATTTCCAACCTGCAATGACACTAAGTTGGGCACTTAGTCTCAGCCAATTATAAATACACACACACGAAGTGTTATAACGAATAAGAGAATAGGCAGTAAGAGATTACAAAAAAGTTTCCAACCTTTATTAATTGCACCAACAATACAAAGGAGGCCTATGGTAACTCTTACAAAACACTTCGTAATTTTTGAGTTACATGGCTATGCCTAAAATAAGCTTACAATCAGTTACAAACTTATAACCAGCATTAGAAGGAAAGCATGCCAAGTGGCATAGCAGTTGACACCCCTAACTGCCTAGGGACTTACAAACATTTCTGGGACTAACTGCTAGTAATTACTGCTAACTTTCAGCCTTGATTCCAGATGTCCAGACTTGCCTTGTCTTTGCTCAACATGGGTAACTGCTGTCAAAAGACAAGCATAACTGCTATTAACTATCCATGTTGTTTGCCTTCTCAAGTCAGCCACGAATTTGGTTGTCTTGGCCCCCAGACCACGTTTTGCCTACTGAATGCTTTGAACCCCCAAGTATGCCGCAGCCCACATTCGGGTCATGTTAATGCCTTGCATTTGTGCAACTGCTGCCCATACTTTGGACGAGTCTCCGGCGACCGTTTGACGGAAGTCCGACGGTAGTAAGATGTGAACAGTGTCTGTAAATTAAAAAAAAAAAAGGATTTTTTGATAACAATTAAAAATGTATTGGACTAATTGGTGCAAATATTTTGTTTTGGGATTAGTTGGGTTTTGAACTTAGTACATGGGACTTATCAGTAAGTTCCCTTAAAAATTTATGATGAAGGAGTGGCCCATAACAAAAGTGTGAAGGGAAAGGCCCAAAATGCAAAGATCTCATCAGGGCCCAAAAACTTGGCATTGGCCCAATAACAACTCAAAAAGAGAAAACTGATTGAGGTAGGTCGGCTAGAAGAAGTACAAAATAGTCGATTGGATGATGAAAAGGCGTTTATGGTTTGAAAACACACACGGTGTCCTTACCGGATTTTGACAATTGTTTAACTTGGATTTTGAAAGGAAAATATTTTTTTGTTTTTCTTATATGAATTTTATATAGAATTATTCATTACAATGACATAGCAGTCTTTTTTTTTTTTTTTTAATCGATTGATTATATAGGCTAGTTTATACGCATCTCAATTAATCTCAAAACTTTGAAATTAAGGATCGGATAAACTTCTAATAGCCCTAAAATTTGAAATGTGTGGCTATTGTAGAATTTGATCTTACAACCTCTTAAATGGTAAGTACTTCAAGGTTTAGTAGTATTTTCATTTAAGAATGAACAGTGATTCAGAGACCGACTCATGAATCCATGTTTGGCTTAGTTGGTAATTATTGATTTCTCATGGAAGCCAATTGTTCAGTGTTTTCGACATTATAACTGGCCTTTACATTTTTTTTTTCTTTTAAAATCACTAAGAAATATTTTTTAATTGAAACAGATATATGTTTAGATAACTATTTCACAACTATTAATTTTGAAAAACATTAAATTAATGCTATCATAATCATTTATATTTATTGTACAGGGAGGAAATAATTCTCCTCGTATAATCCTGTTGACCAAGTCCACGCTCCTCCGTACGACGTCGCTTTGTTACCTGAAAACACAAACGTGAGCTAGCCGGCGGGTGTGTGCCGGAAACCTCTCCGATGCCTAAGTCAGAAAACTTGACAAATAGACAAAGCTCTATGTTTTCAGAAAGAATTACGTTCAATTACCTCCTCCAAGGTGATGCTTGTGGGCTTTTATAAGTTTTCCGTGGCACAATCCTAGTAGGACTTGTACTTCTCCATACAGAGTCCTCCTAGGATTCATTCTCCTAAGGATAATGCTTATCCTTTTACACCCTCCCCCACTGCTTAAACCAAGTGGGATGGTTTTCTCCATGGCCGAATTACTATTTGACCGAAGTAACATTAGCTATGCCAAGCCACAAAGTGGGCCGTACTAACAGTAGTTTGGTTTTTCTTCATGCTACACCATATCTCGGTTCTCTCATACACGAACCGTGGTATGCTTGGACCGATCTACTGAGTAGCTACATTCCGACCGACCTACCCTGAATTCATCATGACCGGACTACCTTTCTTGGGACCGTACTAACTCAAGTTGTCCAAACCGAAGCAGCTTTACGATTCCTTAGCCGAAGTAACTTCATCTCGGAATAAATCTATCGTTCTTGAACCGGAGTAACTTTAACAGCTTGGGCCGGAGTATCTTTTATCTCTCCTGGGCCGGAATAACCTTGCGGCCTTTTCACCAAGTCCTTGGTGCTTTGGGCCACGAAGCCCACCACATAGCTCGACCCAATTTTTACCAAAAATTACCCTCTCATTTATCATTTTATATAACCATCTAATGTGTCAATCTATTTATCAGTATTGCAATAAGAGATATGCACGAGTGGTTGAATCCATTACACTAATATTGTATCAACATATAAAATGGTAAGTATAATATAATATAAAAATATGATAAATGTAGCATTAATATTATTCTTATTATTGAAAATATAAACAAGTAAAAGTTAAGAAATGAAAAATCTTAAATCTAGTGGCTCACTAATTTTACCATAAATCACTTAATTAAGTGGGTGTTTGGAAAATTAGCTATTTTAGTAGGCTATTTTAGGCTGTGTTTGGTGTGGAGTTCTAATCATGACTCCACACCCATATTTGAGCGTGATGTCTGGATACAACTTTTAAAAATTAATGGATTTTTGGTGAAACCCCTCTTTTGGGCCTTTTTATTAGGGTAAAGGATAACCCAATCAATTTTCTTTCAAAAAGTCCCTGATTAGAAAATGTCAACCTTAATAACGACATTTTATATTTTCTATTTTTTTATCACAATATTGCCCCTCTATATATACGTATAATACATTTGATATATTTGAAATCTGAGCTGAACGAAATCAATGAAGACGATCTCCAAATCTGAAGATCTCGCAGCCGAAGATCTCTCACTTGCTCAACAATAGACGATCTTGCCGCCAACGATCAACACTCTCAATTAAACGAGAGTTTTATTGAGATTTGTGACTGTTGATCAAGTTTTAAAGGTTTTTCTTCTCAATTAGGTATGTTAATTAGTTGATTAATTTTTTTTTGTTTTTGTTTTTTTTTTTTTTTTGATTTATTTTTGTTGTGTTTGATTTGATTTCATTTGACAGAACCAGAGTAAAATTTTACTTTAGTTCTATTGCTCTATTTTTTGTTTAAGAGAATGAGAGTAAAATTTTACTCTGGTTCTATTGCTCTGTTTTTTGTTTGAGAGAATTAGAGTAAAATTTTACTCTGGTGCTAGAATGACAGTAAAATTTTACTGTCAAGAGATGGTCATTGCCAAACACTTCAACCGCCACAAGCACTGCCTCCGCTGACGTTGACCATGATTATTGAGAAAATAAGGGAGATATGTTCTTTCAGCTTATGCGTTTTAGTTATCAATTTTTAACTAGCAAAAAATTGCACCAAACAAGTTCATTGTTTGCAAATAATATCATTTCTATAAAGTACAAATTTACTATGTTGTTGAATGGTCATCTATGGGTGTGTTGAACCTGTGATTTTACAGTAAAATTTTACTTTATTTCAGAGTAAAATGTTACTTTTAAATTAAAATTTTACCTTATTTCGGAGTAAAATTTTTTACTTTTGTGCAGAGTAATATTTTACTTTTAGATTCAGAGTCTAACATTTTACTCATTTTTCAAAGTAAAATTTTACTTTTCTACAGAGTAAAATTTTATTTTTATAGAGAGTAAAATTTTACTTTTATACAGAGTAAAATTTTACTCAAGGTGTAACATTTTACTCTTTGATTTAGAGTGTAACATTTTATTCTTATTTCATAGTAAAATTTTACTTTTAGATTCTTTTTGTAACATTGTATTTTTATTTCAGAGTAAAATTTTACTTTTAGATTCATGTCTCAAGTTGTGTTGGTGACACACTGTATGAGTTGTCAATTTTTGGCAAACCAAATAATAAAAATTAACTCTAAAATATAGTACAATGTTACACTAAATCGCAGTAAAATTTTATCAATTCAAACTAAACACAAATTGACTTTTGGACTTGTAGTGATAATAAAATTTTACTTTGATAGTGATAGTAAAATTTTACTTTGATAGTAACAATAAAATTTTACTTTGATTGACAGTAAATTTTTACTGTTAATTGATTGCACATTTGTAAAATGGTTCCACCTCTTATGTTGTTATGCAAGTATGGTGATCGTGCCATTGTGTTCAAGGTTGTGTCAAACTGCACGTTGAAGGATTTAACTGATTTCTTAAGTTGTAAATTGAAGAAGTTTGACAATAGTGGTTACATACTGTTATCGTACTGTTTGCCTGGACATTCACAATGCATGATTGATGATGATTCTAATTTTCAGAATATGTTGTCACTTGTTATCCCCATGGTGTTGACCGGGTTGATGTGACTATTACTGAAATGGGCATTTCAAATAAAAAACATGGAATTGGAGAATCAGGGGATGCTACTGGATCCAACATTACTGATGATGAAATGGATTTACTTCCTATGTTTTGTCAACATGAAAAAAGGACTTTGTTGTCTTGTGGATAGGTTAATGGAATTACTCATGTAGGTCAAAGATTTATTGGATGTGCAAAGGATTTTTGGACTGCATTATGTAAATATGCCGTTGAGATAGGATTTGAGTTTGTGTATGTGAAAAATGAGAAGTGTCGGGTCACTGCTATGTGTTCAATGCGGGAGTCCAAAGCTTGTTTATGGCGAGTACATGCATCTCTAGAAAGTGCTAATAATTTTTTCTACATTAGGACTCTACATGATGAGCATACTTGTGGAGCTACAGTTCATACTTCTAAAAACTCAAGGATGAGTTCAAATTTGGTTGCAAGTTTGATTGTTAATGAAGTTCATAGGAATCCCCAAACTCGTCCAATTGATGTTGTGCGTCAATTTACAGATCAATATGGGCTCACCATTACGTACAATCACGCTTGGTTGGGAGTTGAGAAAGCTAGGACTACTACTTTTGGAGATTTGTTTATGTCTTATGATGAGATTCGATGGTATATGGCTATTGTGATGAGCACAAATCCTGGTAGCTATTTGCGTCTTGACAATAACCATCAAAGTGGACGGTTCAAGAGGTTTTTTGTTGCATTTAATGCTTTCATTCAAGGGTTTAGGCATTGTCATCCTCTATTGTTTATCGATGGAACTTTTCTGAAGGGGAAATATAAGGGCACTTTGTTAACAGCTACAGCGAATAATGGGGATCAAGGTAGACATTACTATAGTTTATTCAAAAGTAACAAGTTACTTATTCTCAGAGTAACATGTTACGTATTCAGAGTAAAATTTACTATATTTGTCCTTTTCGTTTAATATACTTACTAATTGTAAAATGTTATTTTTCAGGTTTTTTCCCTCTTGCAATGGCAATTGTCGATACGGAGACTACAGACAGTTGGAAATGGTTTTTTATACATTTGTCGAATATATTGTTGGATGAAAGACCAATTACCTTCATATCTGATCAGAACGCAGGACTTTTGGAGGCTTTACCCAAGGTTTTACCTACTGCTTACCACTATTTTTGTCTCTAACACTTGAAGGCCAATTTGAGGGATAGGTTTTCCGGTCCAAGTTTCAGCAATACTTTCAGGAGTAGGATAGTTTTTTTGTTTTCTTCATGTGCTTGTACTCCGACAGTAGGATGTTTTAATCAGTGTTTGAAAGAATTACAAGATGAGGGAAAAGGGATCGTTTGTGGATTTCTATCCAATTTGCCCTATGACAAGTGGAGTAATGCATATTTTAAAGGACAAAAATACAGTGAAATGCACTCGAATGTGGCAGTCTTTCAATTCATGGATCCGTCAAGCTTGTCATTTGCCGACTACAAAGATGATTGATTCAATTAGGTTAAAGATCATGGATTTGATGTCGAGAATGAGAGAGCAAGCTAAGAAATGGAATACTTTTCTTTATCCGGAGATGGATTCAACATTACTAAATGCTCTTAAAAATGGAAGAACTTGGTTGGTTAGTCATTCAAGTGATCATGTTTTTGAGGTTCAATCCCGGCCATCGATTAGCGTTGACCTCTTGAATAGAACTTGCTCATGTTACCAATGGCAATTGAATGGATTTCTTTGTGCTCACGCGGCGACCGCTATCTAAAAGTGCGGAGGTGATTCGTATGCACATTTGGAACCATTTTATTACACTAGCAAGTTCAAAGATTGCTATGCTGAGTCCTTTTATCCAATACCCACTGTTGAGAAACCTCTTGTAGCTATGGATGATCTTCTTGTCCTTCCTCCAATTTGTAAGAAGCCACCTGGTAGGTCAAGGAAGAATAGGATCCCATCTAGGGGTGAGAAGATAAGACGAGTACAGTGTGGTAGATGGGAGAAGTACGGTCATAATAGGAAGACTTGCAAGGAGACATTGCCGTGAAAGACATTATTGATTTGGTAATAGAAGTATGAAAATAATGCAATTCTTTTGCAATAAATAGTCCATAGCAATAATAGTATGGTCTTTTAGACTAGATTTGTAAGGAGACATTACAATAAAAGACATTTTTACTATGTTCTTGAATGGTTGTCTATTCTAGTTTTTGATTTGCTTTATAGTTGAATGGTGTCTATGGGTGTGATGAGCCTGTGGTTTCACAGTAAAATTTTATTATGTTCAGAGTAAAATGTTACTTTTATATTAAAATTTTATCTTATTTCAGAGTAAAATTTTAATTTTAGAAAAATTTTACTTTTATAGAGGGTAAAATTTTAATTTAGTGCAGAGTAACATTTTACTTTTAGATTTAGAGTCCAAATTTTACTCGCCCTTCAGAGTAAAATTTTACTTTCATACAGAATAAAATCTTACTTTTATACAGAGTAAAATTTTACTTTTAGATTCAGAGTGTAAAATTTTACTTTTGTACAGAGTCTAACATTTTACTCGTTTTTCAGAGTAAAATTTTACTTTTATACAGAGTAAAATTTTACTTATTCAGGCTGTAATATTTTGCTCTTAGATTCAGAGTATAACATTTTATTCTTATTTCAGAGTAAAATTTTACTTTTAGATTCTTCTGGTAACATTTTACTCTTATTTCAAAGTAAAATTTTACTTTCATGTTGAGTAAAATTTTACTTTTAAATTCAGAGTGCAATAATTTACTCATATTTAAGAATAAAGTAAAATTTTACTTTTATGCAGAGTAAAATTTTACTTCATTTTAGAGTAAAATTTTATTTTATTTCAAAAAATATGTTAGCCCCCTTAAAAAAACATTTCCAACCTGCACCAAAATTTATCACAACACACAAACTCCCCTGATGATCGTCATGCAATCTTTGTGCAAAAATAATCTAACAACACAACTACATATATCATCAAAGATACACAAGTATAACCTGTATCATTGTATTCTATCTATAACAACGTTCATTCCTAGTCAAAACAATATCTTTCTATAATAATGTATTAATCACCAAACCACAGTAAAATTTACTAGAACAATAGACGTAGCATGTACTATCTAATACTCCTTTAGTATTCTTTCACTTACAATTACTTTTTCACTGTTCTTTCATTTACAAAAGCCGAAATTACATACATCATTCACATTAGTTCCCCAAAACTTGTCCACATTGTCATCCTTGAGGTCTTAGCTCTTGCCCGTTTTTTTTTTTTTTTTTTTTTTTGAGGTTGAAGTGTTCCTCAGTCCATGCTTTTAGATAATCATTCAAAAATTGATGCACTATTGACGCTCGAAAATTGTTAATTTCATCATCTTCCATAGAATTTGCAATAGGCTCATCTCTTATGATTTGGTACATGATATAACATAGAATAATTCCACAATCGACACTGTTAATAAAAATCAATATCTTGTTAGATTTAGTCAAATTTGAAAACTACCAATTCAAGCATGTAATAGTAGCGTGAAATACTTATGATGTTGGGCGTTGTTGTGGACTATCTTTCATCGAAACCAAGTTTGCAAACTTTCTTCTACTTCTCTTCATTTTGTTGGCCAACTTGTTATCCACATATGTTATCTAACATCATTGCATAATTGTTTGGTCACGGTTAAATTCAAGAATAAAACCCAGCAAAAAATTACTATTAATATGATGCAAAGCACTTACAATCTTTTTTGCATCCTTAAGGTAAGGATCTTCTCTGTTGTCTCTTGGCCTTAAAGAATTGTAATATCTCCACTCATCAAGTTCAGTGTCAAATACAAGAAGTGTCCAGTGGTAGGGTTTTTCTTCCTTCTTGTTCCCATTGGAGTTCATGCAAAAGTGAAGGTATCTATATCCACTCAAATCTTGCACAAGCACTTGGTCAATTAAATGATTTCTCAAATCTCCATAACCCCATTTCACTAATGACTGCATTTAATCATATAAGAGTGCCATGTCTCAAGTTGTGTTGGTGACACACTGTATGAGTTGTCAATTTTTGGCAAACCAAATAGTAAAAATTAACTCTAAACTATAGTACAATGTTACACTAAACCACAGTAAAATTTTATCAATTCAAACGAAACACAAATTGATGGCTTACCCAACAAAGGCTTGAGAAAAAGAATGACTTATTTTTTTCTGGCTTTTTTGCTGCTTGTTCAATCTGAAGCATTTCAACAAAGCTGTCAATGACCTACAAAAACAAAAATCAATTAAATATATGTTAATAAAATGAACTATTTTTAGTTATTGAAGTAAACACTAGTCATTGAAAATTGTGTGGCCATTTACATTATTTGCAGTATCATCATCTCTCAGAATTGCATCCACATCATGCAATGTAACATATACCCCATTTCCTGTGTCGGACCATATGATTGCACTAGTCATAAGGTTAAAAAAATGTTGATTAACAAGTTGCAGTTTGATAACAGTAAAAATCTGTTGTTTGATAAAATTAAAATGGTCTTACTCTGTGGTTTCCAAATTATAAATCTTGTTCAGTAGACACTTATCATTCTCATCAAGCAATTTGCATATTGCAGCCTTATCTGGAAAAAAAACCCTTTCAACTGGCTTTGGTTGGCTTAGAGGCTAGTTGTCAACACAAATCACTTCATTTTCCTCGCCTTGATTTTGATTTTCTTGACCATGGATGTTTGCAATGGCTCTATGACTATAGGTATTTCTTTCAATGTACTTTGAAACCCAAAGTTTTGCTCATGTTCTACTCCTTTAGCATATGGTATTTCTTTAAAAGCAAAAGCTTGGGTAGCCGCATGAACTGCATTTTCTTCAATCTGATCAACCAACCGTTTATTTTCAAATTCGAGTACTTCAAACTCCTTTCTCAGTTTCTCCATTTCTTTCTCTGTGTTGCTAATCTTTTCCATCATTTCTTTTGTTTTTGCCTCTTGATCCTCTTGTATTTTTTGCATTGTTTCCCTCATTTTCTTCAATTCTTCAACCAATGCCATATTCTCACTTTTCAGCCTCTTGTTTTCCTTTTGAACTCGTTCTAATTTCCCAAGATCAATGAAGTCCTTCAAAGGTTGATCATCTCCTAAAGCTTCAACTATATGATCTTCATCTTCTTTAGTCTCTAAATTTTCCTCCATATCCAATGCATCTTCTTCCTCATCATTGCGAATAAGATCCATTTCTTTTCTGGAAATGGGTTTCAGTTTACCGTGATTTACCTGCATTTGAAAATTAGAAAAAGAAAAGAAGTCAGCAATGAAGAAAACTTTAACCACCAAAGTAAAAGTTTACTCTGATTGTAAGTAAACTTTTACTCTAATTTTAAGTAAACTTTTACTTTGTTCAAGAGTAAGTAAAATTTTACTGTGATTGTAAGTAAAAGTTTACTCTGATTGTAAGTAAACTTTTACTCTAATTTTAAGTAAACTTTTACTCTGTTCAAGAGTAAGTAAAATTTTACTGTGATTGTAAGTAAAAGTTTACTCTGATTGTAAGTAAACTTTTACTCTTATTTAAAGTAAACTTTTACTCTGTTTAAGAGTAAGTAAAATTTTATTGTGATTGTAAGTAAAAGTTTACTCTGATTATAAGTAAACTTTTACTCTTATTTAAAGTAAACTTTTACTCTGTTCAAGAGTAAGTAAAATTTTTCTGTGATTGTAAGTAAAAGTTTACTCTAATTGTAAGTAAACTTTACTCTGTTCAAGAGTAAGTAAAATTTTACTTTGTTTCAAAGTAAAATTTTACTCTAATTGTAAGTAAAATTTTACTCTGATTGAAAGTAAAAGTTTACTCAGATTGTAAGTAAACTTTTACTCTAATTTTAAGTAAACTTTTACTCTATTCATGTGTAAGTTTTATTATGTAAGTATAATTTTAAGCAAAATGAACCAGTAAGGCTGAGTTTGGAAAATGATACCTCTTCAGGCTTTAGTGTTTGCAATGACCTCTTCATTAGCTTTTTCCTCAACGTTGATAAGTCCCATCGCAGGAGCCTTGGACACAAATTTTTTCCTTGAGGTTGAATGAGGGTAGTATGCTCGCATAACCATTACTGTAAAATAAAAAATCGAAATTAGTTAATTCTCTAAAGATAGATTACATAATATTTCAAGTAGTTCAATTCACTTACCAAAAGAAGAAGTACACATCCAGTTACATTTTCAGGACTTCCTAACGAAGAATGGATTGAAGTAGTCAACGTGGATGCAACTGCATTCGACCATGCATATGAATTCATCATTTCCAAATCTTCTACAAGGGCGACAAAAGCCCATCCAACTGTTAGACCAGTTATTGGTAATAGCAAAGTTGCCACAACAAACAAACACATTATTCGGGCAACATCCTCAACATCAACTGTCATTGTGCCTTCCAATGTATCTCTTAATGCCTCTTGCAAACTCTTTACGGATATTCTTGACATATTACAAAACCTTCTCTACACA